TATATAAGTAATCTAAATGTAAGTTGTAGTAATCATAAAACTGAGAGCATGCATATATAGAACATCAAAATCGGACTTCATGTGAGGAAGTAATGTTTTTTCAAAAATTTTAGCGAATTTGTGTTAGCACGGAAACCATTATTCAAATCGGTCATTTGTTAGGAACAACAATCTAAACGAGAGTCGAAGATCTCGTTGATATGATTTCATCAATATTATGATAGTTGATAATGGATGTCATACGAAAAAGTTATGACTTCTATACGGATATTAACAATCTATGCCTATTAAAAATATAACTTTAAAAATAGATTGAGAATTAGTAGACAGAGTCTAAATAAAAGTTGTAGTACTTGTTTGATAGCTACCCGTTGATATAAAGAACGTCGAAAATGGAGATCGTATGAATAATATATGATTTTTTGAAAAAACAAGAAAAATGCGCGCGCACGGGCACTAAGCACGGCGCGCAAGGGTTCTAGAAGTATCCATTACAGACGGATATAGACCTGACACGTAGCAACGAACTAGAGGAATGAAGTCATAGGTGTGCGCAGCGCACACAAATTTGAGACGCATCACACCTTAATTTTTTCGCTATATATAAGAGATGAATCACTTCATTCTCCACACAATCCACCCAAACCTCTCTAAATCTCTCTTATGTTTTATGCTCAGAAATTTCTTCAGATTCTAGAAATAGTTAGCTAGGCTATGGGGCACCAGAGAGCCTGGCAAATAAGAAGCTTTCGGGTCTAAGTTTTTCCCACGACTTTCCCGGTTTTCGCTAGAAATCTCTATAAATTAAGCTACACTTGTTACGCTTTAAAGAGAACTTACGTTTAGGTTCATTATCGTTATTATGAACCTATAAAAAAGATTTATAAGTGATTCCATGTAAAAATATTGATCGATCTACTTACAGGGGTGATGTTTAGGATGGATTTAGTTAGATGTTTAAAGTGTGATTTGAAAATAGTATACTTTATATACAAAACGGACCCTACATTCAATATGGTCTTACATGGCTGCTCCATGCTTGATAGATCATGATGTAGACATTGGGATTATTGAGGAATCTAGACTATCATTAGACAGGAGGAATATTAGACTAAGACTTAGTGATAAGTAAACATATGTCACATCAAAGGAAAATTCAAGGTGTTAGGTGAAGCACTGTCGAATTCATGAGTCATCCACTTTAACAAGTGAGTGCATGGTTACTTTGATCTTACACACAAATATGAAATATTTAGTTAATTAAACGCTATATGTTATTATTATCTATGACTGAGATATTATGTGTTAGATGAAATAATATAAGATGATGCTTCTATGATTTACCGTATATGTATTTTCATACCTATAATATATTAGGAAATGATGGGCGATGAGGGATGAATAAATAATGAAGGTGATGGATGATGAGAGATGAAAACGATGATAATATGCCTTGACTTACTAGTACTATTGTACTAAACGATGTAGCCATCTGATGTAGTATAGATGATGAGCAAGGACTCTTGTAGGCAGTCTAGTGGAACACATGCAAGTTCACATGCTGCAAGTGATGAACTATATGTTCATAGGATGTACTCTACTTCGTATTGACATGTATTGCAGAGAAAATCCATCAAAATAGTACTATCAACAATGATGATTATGATGATCCATAGGATATGTCCTTAGAGATGAATATATTAGAAAACCTACTTATATGTAATGTAGAGAAATCCCTGAAACAATACTTTCAACAACGATGATTATGATTATCCTTAGATAGGTCCTTAGAGATAAATATAGAAGAGAACAAGTATAGGAAACCGGGTTAATTATTTGATATGAAATAGATAATTAGATAAATTAATTATATTATTGTGGGTTAAAAACTCAATGTACTCAGTAGGTTTCCCAACATGAACTACTTAGTTTCTTTGTATCACATGAAGCAGTATAAATATAATGATGTTTGGATCCTTTGAGAGATTCAAGGAAATATAAGCCATGTTATAAAAGATTTTAAAGGCTTGTAATTATTACATTTATGCTTATGTTTCTTGTATCAGTTATGACATCCCTAGTTTTTAATAACCAATGAAAATATTTCTTCATAAACAATTTTTATGGGACTAATTCTGCAATATTACGAATACTATGTTTTAAAATAATCATAAATGAAAATGTATTTTCCGACAGTAAAAATGGAGATCTCACACAAAATATCTTCTAACTTGATGTATGTCACTTCATACTCCAAACTTCTCAAATCTATCATTTAATATCATTACAAGGTGTCCAAAGACAACAATACACTTCAATGGGTCACTTGACATTCTAAGCTCAAAATAAAACAAAAATGACCTAATGTGGATCAGCGGAGAAAAAGGGAAGAAAAGGATTAAACCATACACGAGACACAAACACAACACAAAGCTAAAAGTGGGACATGGTAGAAAGTGTCATGATCCCTCATAAGACGCACGATGAATCCTAGAGCAGAAAACATAATCTAGTTTCCGTTACTCATTTAGCCATCCTACTTTCAAAAAATCCTATAAAACACAACCAATGACTCCAATGATTTAAAACAAGGGTTAAAAATCTGAATTGATTAGAAGGAAGGATCCCCAAGTGGTTCATTGCCTTCGATTAAACTAAGGAATTCATATACATAATTCACAAAACCCTAGAACAAATTTGAAGGAAATAGGGAAGAAAACTACCTTTTTGATGATCCGATAGTGTTATATTAGTTTAGGAATATCAAAATTCCTTATACTGTTTCGAGTTTTATTTTTCCTTTTAGCATTAATAGATTGTGTTTTTATGTATTGCCATAAGTAGAATTTAATTGTTACATGTACATTTTGCAATTAGACATTTTCAATAGTTGTAGATGAAATACAAATGAACGAACATAAGTTGAAGAATGAGTGATTTTGCCACTAGTACCTTTTTTTAATTTAATATTTCTCTTTTTTATTTGATTTGGCATTTTTGCATTAGATTTTTTTTTTTTTTTTTTTTTTTTTTTTTTTTTTGCAATTATTCCCTTCATAAAAAATATTATTGTTTTGGTTAAATAGATTTGATATGGCTTTGAGGAATTAACATGGTCCCTTTACAACAAATCGTTGTAGTAAATTCTTATGCTGGTGCAATACAGATTCTTAAACTCGGGCTTACAATGTATATCATCATTATTAACCTAATTTATAGATTATGCAATGACACTTATGCTTGTCGTAGGATCCAAGGGTCTTTTCCCATGTATTCTTGATCACAACACTTATGGTAATGCATGTTCATTCGACTACCTATAAGTTTGTGCTCTCTTTTAAATTAAAATACTAAAATTCATATTACTCAGATATAAAAATTACAGGATTGTGTAGAGTGTTGGTGAAGGGGTGATTGAAGTTAAACCTGGGACTATGTCATACCTTGTTATTAGGCGGAATGTGGTTGGGAATGAGAGTTTTGGAGATATTGATCCCCAAGCATCTTTTTGGATGTGTGCTTTCTTTATTTTGAGTATTAGCATAATATGTAGACTTATTAAACTTTTTGTCGAAGACGTTTGTATTTTAAAATTAAGAATATTGTTGGTAGAAAAAGTTCGAATTAAAGTAATGATATTGTGTTATGCATTTATTACCTTAATTGTCTTATTATTATTATTATTATTATTATTATTATTATTATTATTATTATTATTATTATTATTATTATTCCATTTAAAATTTTAAAAATTGGGATCTAATTTATTAGTGTGTATATATATATATATATATATATATATATATATATATATATATATATATATATATATATATATATAGTGTTAAAAGTAAGACTAAATCCTTAAAATAAAAATTATTTTAGTAATTAAATAGTGATATAAAAATAGTGCTACTAAAACTTAGAAATTTTATAATGACATAATAGAAAAATATCATTAAAACATAAAACGATTGCAACAACACAATCAAAAAGTATAACTAAAGGTATTTTAATAACACTTTTTTGTGATGCTATTTCATGGGAGCCTTAAGTGTCACTTTTTTTTTTTAGTTTTTAGTAGCATTTTTCTATAGCGTACATGTGATTTTATTTGCAGTGCAAATGACAATTGGCAAGAAATGACAAGGTACTTCTATTGATTTGTCTATTATAGCATAATATTATTATTGTTTTTTTCTATTATAAAATTGTATTTTAAAAAAAATCTTCAAATTATAACATTTTCATAAGTTGAATGTTGTTGTTTATTCTTTTATAGCAAGTCTATTAATTCTTTTTTTAGTTGTCTAACCGTGTAGTTTTAACCTAGTTTTTAATAATTATAAAACTATAGGTGTGTGCCTTTGGTTATACGTGTGCATCATAAATATTGTTTATAAATTATATTTTTCTGTATTTTATGTTTTTGTAATATTATAAAATCTGTGGTAATTACATAAAAATAGGGATTTATGTAATTTATATATTTTTTTTAAAATAATATGTTTTATTATCCACGAGACCCGTCAGTAAAATCTGTGGAAAAATTGGCTGTGGGTAGTAAATCCGTGGGAAGTAACCTATGGATAATCCGTGGGAAATGGATCTGTGGCTGAGAAACCTGTGCTTAATACGTCAAAAGTAACACGATTTGTAAAGCCCATTACCCGCATTGTTTATTCCGCCACCCCTATGTTTCTTTATACTATTATATTTATTTATTATTATTATATTGTACCCCAGCTATACAATTATTGAGTCCAGTAGTTAAAATAATTATTTTTGAAAAAGGAAAAAATAGTACTTTTCAATATTCGAAATGAATAAAAAACAAATTATTTACAGTTGTCTTTTTCGGTGAAAAAGAGAACGATAAAAATGACTAAGGGTTGCTTCCATCCATTTTATTTCTACCATCAAGCTTTTCCTTGAAGTCGTCAAGCTATTCGATCCCTGAAGCTCTCAACTTTGTTTCCAGTTACATTTGTATCATCAAAATGATGCGTCTCATAAATAAGTTTCAACACCTGAAGATACAATTAGAAGCAATAAAATTAGCAACCAACAACTTTGCTGATGAAAATTGCATTGGTAGAGGTGGGTTTGGCAAAGTATACAAGGGAGATCTTGTTCATTCCAAAGGGCAAAGAGTTGTTGCTTTAAAGCGATTAGATCCAAAATTTGGACAAGGAAACCCCGAGTTTTGGAAGGAGATCATCATGCTTTCTCTATACAAGCATGAAAATATTGTTTCTCTTTTAGGATTTTGTGATGAGAGTGACGAGAAGATCCTTGTGTATGAATACGCATCTAGGAGAAGTCTTGACTCATATCTCAAAAACGATGATCTAACTTGGACTCGACGACTTGATATTTGCATCGGAGTGGCTCGTGGACTAGCATACCTTCATAATCCTGGTGTGACCCAACAAAGAGTGTTACATCGCGATATCAAGAGTTCTAACATCCTACTTGATGAGAACTGGAATGCTAAGATCTCAGATCTAGGACTCTCCAAATTTGGTCCTGCCAATCAACAGTACACGTTTCTTGTCTCCAATGCCGTAGGCACTATTGGGTATTGTGATCCACTATACATTGAAACAGAGTTATTAACAAAAGAATCAGACGTTTATTCTTTTGGGGTAGTGTTATTTGAAGTGTTGTGTGGGAGGTTGTGTATCACTAAAAAGAATGGCATTCAAGAGTCTTTAACAGGTTTGATGCGACAATACTACCCACAAAACAAAATAAGTGATCTTATATTTGATAATATAAAAGATGGAATGAATCCCAAATCATTGGATATGTTTGTCACAATAGCTTATCGGTGTTTGAAGAGAGACTTGGAAGATCGTCCACTGATATCCGACGTGGTGAGCATACTTGAAAGCGCGCTCAAATATCAAGTAAGTTATGATGTTCCTATATACTGGCGTGTGTTTAGATTGGGCTGGATTGCCATTAATCATCCTACGCTAAAAGTTTATATAATTTTCATATAATCCACTATGAAATTATTGGATAATGACTAAATTGTATGACAATCTTATTACTGAAATTCGGATAAAGTTTTAAGAATTTGGATGCCAAAACTATAACTTTTTATTTATTTGTAAATTCATTGGATGATTATTTTTGCACTTTATATTAGTCACTTTGAAATTATGATAATCCAGTTATTACGAGTTATGTTAATTAACATTGTTTCTATTAAAATATCAAAATTTCTTTTAATAGATATTTAATTAATAAAGTACCAAGATATAAAAAACTGACAAAACTATTTGGTCTTTGTGGTTTGCAAAAATCTTTGGATGGGATCCTTAAAGTTTCCAGCTTGCACCACAAGTCCAAAATCAAGGTTTTTCATTGCTTTTTGTCCCAAAAAACTTGAAAAGTCGATTTTACCATTTTTCATTTCTTTTTTCTTTATTTATTTTGATATTTAAATAATTAAAAATAGAAAATAAAATAAACCCCACAACCCCTCCTCTCTCTCTCTCTCTCACATAGACACACACAAATAGATATACAGACCGTCTTCATAAAAATGGCTGCCACCATCACTTCAGGAGTTTGAAGCTAGATCGACAATAGAAGCTCAAAGTTTTCGACCAAACAAAAATTGGTGTGAAGGGCTTCGTTGATGCTGGAATCCGCCAAATCCCTCCCATCTTCTGCCAATCACCATAAACATGGCACAAAATCAAGTGATGCAATTGTTGGAGGTTTAAGAGACATTAAAATCGAGTAATCAAATCAAGTGATAAAATAGGTGGTATACTTTTCCAATTGTTCTCAGAGGCCTTGGGATTGAACGCAAATCACCTTGGGGATCTCAATTGTAGCAAGGGGCTTTTGTTCTCCGACCATTAATACCCTGTTTGTTGACAGAAACCCTTAGGGGTTTTAGAAGCGATTGATCGGGTAAGAGACGGTTTATGGTTTGATATGGAGACCTATATCAGCACCACTTTCACAAACCCAATTTCTACACACATAATTAACTTATCATCTTCAGATCCATTTGGTATGGAGATTGATATTAGCACAACTTGCATAGCCATCACCGGGTGGCTTGAAGATTTTGAAGTGGACTACGTGAAATATATCAGAAACAATTGAGGGGGGAAACAACAACGAGATCGCAGGTAGGTCTAATTTTGTCGAATGTGCTACTGTCGGAGACGCTTCAATGGACGGAAGTGTTCTCCCGGCGGAGAGGATAAGGATGACAGAAGCTTAACGCCTTGTTCCCGAGTTTTTTTTGTAAATTCCTTAAAAGAAAGTGAAGGAAAATTATGATGGAAAGAAAGGGAGGTGAAGAAAAATATTCATTATTCCGTGTTCCCGAGTTCGAAGGAAACGAAAGGAAATGGAAGAAAAATTTTAAGTTTTTGTGTTCCTGAGTTATGAGGAAAAAGAAAATAAAACATAAAATTTTCCTTCCCTTCACTTTCTTCCCAAATCCGCCCAATTTGGGAGGAAAATTTGGAAGGAAAATTTGACTCCAAAATCCTTCCCCTCCCCACTTTCCTTCCATTAATGAAACTCGGGAACATGATTTTCCTTCGACACCCCTCACTTTCCCTCCGTATTCTCCCATTTCTCTCCTTAAGTAGAACTCGGGAACAAGGTGTAAGGGTACAAATCGGGAGCAAGGAGAAGAATGAAGCAGCAAAGGTTGCTGTAAGATTGGTGCTGCTGTGTGTGTATGTCTATGAAGAAAATCTGTATATCTATTTGTGTGTGTGTCTATGTGAGAGAGAGAGAGAGAGGAGGGAGGGGTTGTGGGGTTTATTTTATTTTCTATTTTTAATTATTTACATACCAAAATAAATAAAGAAAAAAGAAAAAAGAAACGAAAAAGGGTAAAATAGAGTTTTCAAGTTTTTTTGGACCAAAAACAATGAAAAACATAAATTTTGGATCTTCGGTGCAAGATGGAAACTTTTTGGACCCCATCCAAAGGTTTTCGCAAACCGCAAGGACCAAATTTGCAGTTTTGTCTAAAAAATTTATATTGTTGAAAGACACTATCAATTGCTAACGCTATACTATACTCCGCCGTTCAAAAAAAAATTGTTGATGCTAGCTATACAAGTAGGTAATTATGTGAAACTGAATTTCAACATAGTTTGCACATGTTAATATCTATTTATTTTTGTGAAAATTTTAAATTAGCATGGTGCTCCAGAATTTATCATCACTAAGCAACCATATAGCAATCCAAGCACTGCTGATACAGCTACATGGTTTAAACGAATACAAGCAAAGGTATATATATGTATATAATTTTCTGTATTACATTGTTTTAGTGCATTTAGGGGTGTTGTATGTATATCTTCAATGATTTCTTATATGTAGTTTTTTTTTTTTTTTGTGTCATACAGTTTGGACTGGATTCATCTGGTTCGACACAAAACCCAGACCAATCAAGTAGCCATGATGAAGGAAACGCAACCAAGGAGAAAAGCGGCCAAAGCAGAGGTCATAAATGGTACAAACGAAATAAGGAAAAGGTTTGTGCATTTTACTATTCACTAGTTTATAAATGTCTTAAGATGTCACCTGCTCAAAATTCAATTATTTACCATGGTGTAACTCATTTGGTTTGTTTGTGGTGCAGTCTGATGAGATGCAGTCAAACTCGGTTGCTAATACTGTAAACCCCTCTGATCCAGGTATATGTAATCACTGGTTGCCTTGCCAATAATAATAACACACTTATATTTATTCATCTATACCTACATTATGTATGAAGCACAGGTAATTTCTTTTGATAATAGTAGCAACACAATTATATTTACTTATCTCTAATAGTTCACTAGTAGTTCAAATGGTGTTGATCAATACACTGAAAGTTTGTCGTATCAACAAATTCAGATCAAAAGAATATTAAAGCCGAACTAATGCGTAGACCTTAGTATATACTTCCTTTTTTCTAAATATTGACTGCTTCTAATAAAATTAGCTTTGCTAATGCAAATGGAATTGGAGTTTATTCACAATGATTGCATATGGTTGTTTGTGCCACCTGCGGTGTACATTACAAGTAGTGACTTAGACTCATTACACTTACAATACTCACATCAAATACTTGCAACGCTTCTCATAAAATAACCTTTCCGCAATGTTTACTGAAAATAAAACCTTTTGCCATAAATGAATGAGAAAATCATTGCTTTTTTTTCCTCTGGGTGAAAGACATCATGAGTTTCTTGCACTATTCTGAACAAGAACACACGCACAAGTCTTATAAGGATAGACATTTATTTGTCATACTTACATATATTTACCTATAATAGATTTACAATAGTAATATATATATCTTACATATACAAAAACAATGCAGGTTATGACACCACTGAGGTCGTACCTAAGGACACACAGGTTGTTGCTATCCAGCCTATTTCTGTCCCATCTCTTCTGGTGGAAGAGTTGAAGGAAATCACTGACAACTTTGGATCGGTTTCATTGATTGGTGAGGGAGCTTATGGAAGAACATACTTTGGAGTTCTTAAAACTGGGTAGGTTGCAGCTATTAAAAAGTTTGACTACTATACAAAGCAACAAGACAAAGACTTTTTAGCTCAGATTTCTATGGTATCAAGGCTTAAACATGATAATGTCGTGGAGCTACTTGGATATTGTGTAGATGGTGACTGGAGAGTACTTGCTTATGAATTTGCTTCACTTGGATCTCTACGTGATATTCTTCATGGAAGGAAAGGTGTTAAAGGTGCACAACAAGGTCCAATTCTATCATGGTCCCAAAGAGTTAAAATTGCTGTTGGGGCTGCAAAAGGGCTTGAATACTTGCATCAGAAGACACAACCTTCAATTATTCATGCTGATATGAAGTCCAGTAATGTTATACTTTTTGAAGACCATGTGGCTAAGATTAGAGATATTGATTTAACACAACAAACCCTAGGCATGGCAGCACGTCTTCATTCTACCCGTGTTCTTGGTACCTTTGGTTATCATGCACCTGAATATGCCTTGACAGGAGTGATAAATTTAAAGAGTGACGTTTACAGCTTTGGAGTTGTTCTCCTGGAACTCTTGACTGGACGAAAACCTGTTGACCATACTTTGCCACGTGGCCAACAGAGTCTGGTTAGCTGGGCAACACCAAGACTCGGTGAAGATAAGGTGAAAGAGTGTGTTGATGCTAGACTTAATGGAGAATACCCACCAAAAGCTGTTGCCAAGCTGGCAGCAGTAGCAGCTTTGTGTGTCCAGTATGAAGCTGATTTTAGACCAAACATGAGCATTGTTGTTAAAGCACTGCAGTCATTGTTGAATGCAAATGCTGGACCCCTCAACTGAATTGCCACACTTGTGCTTAATTATGTGGTTGTGTACATTTATGCGTTGTATTAGAATCATTCTTTTGTTAATTAGAGTTGTGCCAAAATGGTTCAAATCTGCTTTTCAAAGGTAAGTATATCACCTATTTTCGATTAAATAAGTATGAATGTGTTATGCTGAGCCATAGTCTACGTTGGTGGTTAGATATAATACACATCACCAATGTTCAAATAATTCAGTTTTTCCTTTATTTTAAGTATGCACGTTTTTCATTGTTAATTAGAATAGGTCCATAATAAAGTCAGGGAGACGTGGGTCATATTTTCCTAGTCTTTGGCAAGTAGTTGATTAGTTCCATATTTTTCTGCTTTATTTGAGTTTAAATATTCAGGGCAAAGTGTATGTTAAGATCACTTCTTTCATTATAAGTTCATGAATAAAACAGTGCAACTTTCTGCCCCTGTCTCGTGTGTTTTGTTTTTATCCCATTTTATCTTTTACACTCTTTGATACACTAGTCAATCTTGTCCCCTGTTCAGCCTTCTTTCTTTTTAAGTGAATATAAGATACATCTTGGTTTCTTATTCCTCTGTTAATTTCTGTCCCCTGCTCTGTAACACTAGTTGATAACAAGTCTGAAACCAACATTTGGTATCAGAGCATTCCTGGTGTATGCCAAAGTATCAACCTCGTGTGATAGATATGTCTGGAAGCAATGAAGAAAAAGATGGTCAGGTCACACTACACTATCCAATGCTGTCAAGATCCAATTATGCTGCATAGGCAATCAAGATGAGGGTGTTTATGCAGGCCCAAGGTGTTTGGGAAGATGTTGAACCTAGAACAGCCAATAAAGTGGTGGAAGTGCAGAAGGTTAAATTGGCCTTGGCAGCCATTTTTCAAGGAATACCTGAGGATCTATTGCTGTCATTGGTTGACAAGAAAACAGCCAAAGAAGCATGGGATGCCTTGAAGACCATGTTCATGGGAGTGGACAGAGTGAAGATTGCAAGGATTCAAACATTGAAGTCTGAGTTTGATTCATTGAACCTAAAGGAAATAGATAAGTTTGTTGTGAAGGTGACCAACATAGTCGGTACAATGCGTACCTTGGGGGATACTATGGATGAATCCTATGTAGTGAAGAAATTGCTTAGGGTAGTGCCAGCCAAGTTCCTACAAATAGCATCAACACTCGAAGAGTTCGCTGACTTGGATCAAATGACAGTAGAAGAAGTGATTGGGAGGCATAAAGCCCATGAAAAGAGAATGAAGGGGCATGGTGACACAGATGAAAGAAAGCTTCTCTTAACCCACCAAAAGTGGACTGAGAGAAATAAGATGAAAGGAGAAGGTAGCTCTAAGTAAGTCCCAAAAGGCAATCGTAGTGGGTTATCATGAGGAAGAGGAAGAGGCCGGGGCAGGGTGGTCCAAATGGTGGTCGAGGTGGTAGTGGCAGAGGTGGCTCTCAGCAGCAGAAAGAAAGAAGTTACAATGGAGGCCATAATCAAGATAAGAGTGAAATATAGTGCTACAACTGCCAAGAGTTCGGGCACTATGCAGCCGAGTGCAAGAACCCGAAGAAAGAAAGAAACCATGAGAGCAACTTGATCCAGGAAGACAATGAACCAACTTTGTTGATATCATCCTTTGAGACCAAATAAGAGACAGGAGAGGTATTCTTGAATGAAGAGAAGGTCAACCCAAAGCTAAGATCAAATGGTGATACTGTGAGTGACTCAAACATGTGGTATCTGGACACAGGGGCAGCAACCAGCAACCACATGACTGGAGAAAGAAGTAAGTTCCAGGAGCTAGACACAACTATCCAAGGCTCGGTGAAATTTGGTAACAACTCAAAAGTTAGAATTGAAGGAAGAGGTATGATTATTTTCCAATGAAAAAATGGTGAGCAAAGGAAATTGAAAGAAGTATACTATATACCTGAGTTGTGTAGCAAGATTATAAGCCTTGGCCAACTTTTAGAAGGGGAAGATGAAACTAGAATCAAGCAGAACTTTCTGAGAATTTTTTACTCCAGGATGAGACTACTCATGAAGGTACAGAGGTCACCAAACAGGCTCTACAAAATTGAACTCAAAGAGGTCACTCCAAGATGTTTTGTTGCTGAAATCAGTGACCCAACCTGGTTGTGGCACACAAGGTTAGGTCACGTAAATTTCACTGCCTTGAAATTGATGTCAGACAAGGGCATGATAGAAGGAATTCCAAATATGGTCATACCATCTAAGTCGTGTGAAGGCTGCCTGACTAAAAAACAAACAACAAGATCATCTCCATCTTGTACAAGCTTCAGGCCAAGAAGAAGCTTGAATTGATTCACAGAGACTTGTGTGGTCCAGTTTCACCCCCCATACTAGCGGGAAACAGGTACTTCATGCTCCTGGTTGATGATTATAGCAGGGTAATGTGGGTTTACCTGCTAAAAACAAAAAATGAGGCTCTTCAATCGTTCAAGAATTTTAGAGCTAAAATGGAGAATGAAACTGGAGAAAAGATTAAAGTTCTAAGAACCGATAGAGGCGGTCAATTTCTATCAAATCAATTCACCACCTATTGCTATGAAATCGGACTCGATCAACATTTCACCTCACCATATTCCCCACAACAGAATGGGGTGGTGGAAAAGCGTAATCAGATGGTGATTGAAATGGTGAGGAGCAAATCTATTGACAATGCAAGTTCCACACACGTTATGGGAGAATCAATGAGTCACACCATATCCGTGCTGAATAGGATAAGTACGAAAGCATTGAATGAATCCACACCCTACGAGATGTGGACTGGTCGCAAGCCTCACGTGGGTCACTTGAGGATGTTCAGATACCTTGCTCACATGATGATTCCCAAGAACCAATTAAAGAAGTTGGACCTGAGAAGCAAGCGAGTGGTACATCTAGGGAATGAAAAGGGGAAGAAGGCTTACAGGCTTCTTGATCTCGTCACTGGGTTAATTCACGTTAGTAGAAACGTTGTATTCGAAGAAGATAAGATGTGGATGTAGGAGAAGGAGACGAAGGTCAATGGTGCTCCTGGATTAAGCTTCACCATTGAAGGATTTGACTTCAACAATGAAGACTTCGCTAATCTTGAAGGCGGCGTTGTAGGGAATGGATCTGTACATGGGTCTACCCCATCTACACCCGAAGCCCACTCATCTCCAGTTAATGTGGACTGGACTAACAGTCAAACCCAACCCAATTACCATTCGGACCCACAAATAAGCCCACAAGAAAGTCAATCAAATGCTCCATTAAACTCACCGTCAACACCCTTTACGCCCAATTCATCCAGCACCGCCTCGAGCTCTACTGGTGGCGGGGCTGCAAAACGTTACCGCCTGCTCACCTAATTATATGAGAATATCGACGAAGTATAATTGCTAATTGAAGAACTATTGTTAATGTGCAGCGATAATGAACCTAGAAGCTATGGAAGCTACAGTGAAGCAAGTCGAAAAAGGGAATGGGTATAGGCTATGAACGATGAGATAGCCACAATTGAGAAGAATAATACTTGGAGCCTTGTCGAACTCCCAAAAGGAAGGAAGCCAATCGGGTTAAAGTGGGTCTATAAGGTGAAGCATGATCCAACTGGAAGGATTGTCAAGTACAAAGCCAGAATCGTGGCAAAGGGCTACGTCCAAAAAGAAGGCATCGATTATGAAGAGGTCTTTGTGCTAGTAGCGAGAATTGAAATAGTTCGAGTTATATTGTGCCTTGTAGGATCGAATGGGTGGTGTGTGCACCACTTGGATGTGAAAACGGCATTTGAATGGCGTCTTAACCAAAGAGGTATATGTCTTTCAACCTCAAGGTTTCGAGAAAAAGAATGAACCAGGTAAGGTGTACAAACTTACTAAAGCCCTGTATGGATTGAAACAAGCTCCCAGAGCTTAGAATTCGTGTTTAGACAAGTATTTGAAGAAGTTGGGTTTTAAGAGATGTGCTCAAGAATATTCAGTGTATACAAGAACAAAGAATGGTGGCACTCTGATAGTTGGGGTATATGTGGATGACTTGCTTGTAAGTGGAAGCAATCCTAAAGATGTGAAAGAATTCAAGAAGGAGATGAATGTTAGATTTGAAATGAGTGACTTGGGTCTGTTGACATACTACTTGGGGATTGAAGTAGACCAACAAGAGAATACGATTACACTGAAGCAGGAAGTCTGTGCAAAGAACATTTTGGTCAAAAAACACATGATTGATAGCAACCCTACCAAGTGTCTAATGGAGCATAAACTCACTTTGACCTAATATGGAGATGATGAGTTGGTGAACCCAACTGAGTACATAAGCATTGTTGGCTGCCTAAGGTATCTCACTCATACTAGACCCGATATAACATTTGTTGTTGGTGTTATAAGTCGTTTTATGGAGAAACCCACCATAAAACATCTCCAAGAGGTAAATGCGATCCTTAGATATATAAAAGGAACCTTGAATCATGGTCTAGTCTACACGAAAGGGGAAGAAAAGGTCACAATTTCAGGTTACACTGATAGTGACTTGGCTAAGGATGTAAATGATAGGAGAAAAACAGGGGGAATGGCACCATTCTATGTAAATGGAAACTTGGTCACATGGGCATCTCCAAAGCAAAGGGTAGTGGCACTTTCATCATCTGAGGCAGAATTTATTGCTGCCACCATGGCAGCTTGTCGAGGCATATGGTTAAGGAGGCTTCTCAAAGAAATCACAGGTCAAAAAGTACCACCATGGCAGCTTGTCTCGTGTGTTTTGTTTTTATCCCATTTTATCTTTTACACTCTCTGATACACAAGTCAATCTTGACCCCTGTTCAGCCTTCATTCTTTTTAAGTGAATATAAGATACATCTTGGTTTCTTTTTCCTTTATTAATTTCTTTCCCGCGCTCTGTAACACTGTTTTATAACTAGTCTGAAACCACCAACCAAAGCTAAATCACTACATAAGTATAGAATGTATGTTCTTATACCAAATAGAAAAGCAATTGATGATGAGTGAATCACCT